GGGGGGGGGCTCAGATTGTTCGACAGAGGAGGAGAAAGGGGGGAAACTCCTGCTGAACGCACAAACACTGAGGCCACCCAGCCGCTCTTATCGTCATGGTAACGTGCAGGTTAGTTGGTGCCCTTGCGTCAGGGAGGGAGGACGAGTGAAAGGGCGAATTATCACAGCCTATTTGAATTAAGCAGCATGTGACAGGCCTTCTTAAATTGCCATGCCTCTGTCTTGTGATTCCCCCCTCGCAGCCAGGCAATGTAGTGAAAGGAGGGAATGTGACAGAAGGGGGGGGGGCGAGGGAAATGGTAGACAGTTGAGGGACCTCACATGTACCATGAAAGGAATAAACTTTGGTAAGCTTCCTGGTGTTTGTGCCTCTAAACCCCATCAAAACCCATTGTATAATTTAAAAGCTGCTTTTAAAAAAGGAACTCAAAAATGAATTCTTTTTTTTTTTTGAAGCAGCATTTATTCCAAGGTTTCTGATAAAGCAGTTGTAGCCAAGACAACACTCTCCACTTTCTTTCTTTCTATTACTCGCTCTCTACTGTCCTTTCTTCTCAGTAGTAGGGCGCAAAAATAATGGCTTCTGAATAATGTAGCATCCATTCAGTGGAAGGTCGCACACAGAGACTGAACGTGCACAAAGATACACACACACACACACACACACGCCACAACCCCATCCTGTAACCATCACTTCCCAAGTGCTCCAACCTTCCATTAAGTTTAAAAACACCATTTATCTTTTACCGACCACAGTGTGCACACATTCGCTCTTTGGTAAAAAATCAAATTGGCAGCTCTGACCACTTAACTGCTACCTAAATTAGGTCTGAGTAGTTTCCCATAAAAGTAGACTCGATATGTTAACACCCTTCTGCTTACTTACTCACTCCTAGCTTAAGAGGCCCACTCCACTGTTTTCTCTGTTTTTGTTTCCTCTCAATTGTCCCTATAGACAGGGTGCGGGGTAATCGTGAGGCTGGAGGCAATGACATGGGGGGAAAGAAAGGAAGGAAGATCTAGCTGAGCGGAAAGGCAATCCGTGAGATCTGGAGGGCGAGCGGAGGGGGAGAAAACGAGAATAAAGAGAAATAGGAAGAGATGGTGACAGAATGATGGAGGGAATATCGTAGGTAATGAAAACAGAGAGACAGCAGGGTGTGGATGAGGAAGAGCGAAGAGAAGAAAGAGGGCAAAGAACGCCTGAATGACAAAGTGTGTTTTTCTGCACGTGTGTGTGTCTGCGAAGGGAAGACAAAGACACAGCTACATCATCCACATGGCAGACTCTTCATTACCCAGGGCACGGCCCACGTTCTCTCCTATTAGTCCACTGCAGATGGCTTAGCCCCGAGGCTGGAATGTTGCATAATGCCACGATTTCCCCCCAAATAGTGAACAAACCTATATGAATCTTATTGTTGAATGTATAAAAATGAGTGTGCGCTCTGCCCCAAAGGATGACTAATGAACTAATTCACGGGATGACACATAAGTGAACTCAGCAAAGTTAACACGGGAGGAGTATTTTTCTAAGGAACTTCTGAGCCATCTGTTATTCAAAAATACTCTCATGTGGCCTCTGTATGAACTTAACAAAATGCAAAGCTGCCAATTCAACTCAAGTACATCCAATGTTTTCCAGTTAGGGCTACAACTTTTAATCATTGGGAAATATAGCTAATGTTTTTTCACTTGATACATTATTGGTTACATCTATAACTTGTGAAACGTAATACAGAAATGCCATCAATACAACAATTCATCATTTGTAATTGTCAATTATTCCTGTCAGACGAGTAATTGATTAACCTGTTAATCATTCTAGCATTAAATCCAATACTAAGAACCTTGCAATAAATCAAACTTTATTGCCATAAGTCCATATTTGAAGCTTCACAGTCACGCAACTTCAACCTCATTTCTTCAAAAGGACTCAGTGATTTTGATTTTTTCCCCAAATGTCCATGTATAAAGGAAAGGCATGTCTAACCCAGAAAATCTGACCTGGATATATACCTCTTGATGGGCACTCCACTGTTGAAAAAGGTGCTTCACTGGAGCAGAATGGAAAGAGACAGCAAACAGAGGAGATGGAGGATGTGCTGTATGTCAGGACAGATGCAAACTCACAACAGTCTAAGTGGTATATAGTTCATACCTTATGCTGAGCGCCCATTAAAAATCAATTTTTAATACACAAGTAGTGACCATAATTAATACATAGAGATGCCTCCATCTGTTCCCATGCATCTGCTGAGCAGGACTAAGGTATGTAACAGTGGAATTCCACAAGCTTGGAGTGGTGCTAAATGCACGCTAAGCGATATGAAGTGTCTTTCCGCAAGCATGGTTGCTCCACAGCAGGTGGCAGACAGCTGTGCGGAGGTGGGGAAGGTCTCCAGGCGCAGTGTGCACTGATGTGCAATATGTGTGTGTGTGTATGTGTGTTTGACCAGAATGGACAGTGACATTCCTTCAACATGATAGGGGTTAAACATGTGTCAGGTCAGTTAGACGAAGAAGAAGACACGGATAAAAAAAGAGATTCCACCTTAAAAGTCAACACACAGTGAGCCTCTTCTTACTGTTGTGGATCAGTGGACGTTATTTTAAGCATTTCATTCGTCTTTTAACATTTGTAATTCTCTTTCCTTTGTCTTAAAGGGATTTAGCATTGCAGGGGCATAAAGTTGGGGGACTTGCAAAAGACAGGTATTAAAAGGAAATGATGAAAAAAATATATATTAAACCAAGAAATTATAAAACTGCTTTGAGTAGTCTTCTTTTTGAGTAAGCTAGCCTCCATCTGCAAAATGTTCCTTTAAAGAGCAAAAACAGACAGATTCTTCTAAGATATCTTATTGTAAAGCAGCCAAAAAAGATCCCTTTGACATTTTCTTCTTTGATACACTTAACATGCTGCAGTGTAATACGGCACTTTATAAAATGAATTCCTACTACCATGAAGGTTTGAATGAAGGCTGCCAAGGGCCTTTAGGAATGCCCCCCTCCCCAAAGATCAATGGAGCAGTCCGACTCACTGTCTTCCTCCACGCTGCTGCCTGTCCCACTCTGACGCTCGGGTGAGTGCCCCGGGGACTGAGGCTCTTTCTGGCAGAGTGCACTCGGCTGGGCCTGCCCATGTTTACAGCTGGGACGCCATTAAGTCCCAGCAAAATGACCCATGGGTTATGG